AATATTTAGTCATACTTTCATACTGACGCTCTTCAGCTCTTTAAGTCATCTATAGCGCTCTTCTGGTCACCTTCCTTGGGAGGATTAAAATATCATCTGGAAACCGCACGTTACCTAAATGGAGCCCATTTATGTTCTGCCTTTGGTTTTCCAAATAATGTCATGAAAACGTATTTTAGGATTGCTTGAACAACTTCGGTAATATTTCATCACCCTATCGAACGCCCTTTTCGATTTGAAATTTGTTTGTTCCTTCGTGAAGTGCCACACTATCAGTTTGAAGTTCATGCAGCAGAAGTATAAACTCATTCATGTCGCAAATGTTTATTATCATTTTTTTGACTTATTTCATCATTTTGCCTATTACTGAAATGCATCTCTAATGGAACTTGTGGAAAAGGGGGATGGATGTGAACATATGCCAATTTCAACACGTTCGTTTGAACTCTTATCACAGAATTTTATCATCGTTGCGGTAGAATTGCAGATTTCGGATTTCAAAATTTGACGCTTGCTTCTCATTGTGTGACGTGTTGTGACAATGTCTAAGAGGTCTGTTTCCTACTCTGGAGGTGCGGGGTTCGATTCTGCTCGAGGGTAATCTTGGTCTTATTCACAAATTCCCTGAGCGAGGAACTTAACGCACACTGCTTCATGCCGAGATTGCTCAGTCGGTAGAGCGTCGAACGCAGAATCGATAGGTTCTCTGTTCTAGCCTCATTAGAGTTACTCGTCTTCCTTCTTTCCGAGGTTGATAAATGAGTACCACTCTGTGAAAAGGAAACAATAGACTACACATGCGTTTGCCACATGGCTGTAGATTCTGCCTTTAAAATAAGGCACTCCTGGTTAATAGCATAGAAACAGAGATAAGACCCGCGTTACCAATTTAATCAAAGTTTGGGCGTCACAATAGCCCAGTCATGAAATTGAAGGAAGACAGACATTACAACGGTGACAAACATGCCTGTCCTTTTCCTATTGTGTCTATTGATGCTCGAAGATGAGTCAGATCAGAT